ATTCAGACCAACCTAGACTGGTTAAGAACATTTTTAATTTTTTTCCTTGAAGTTAGCAAAACACTTGCCAAAAAGAAAATGAATTGATTTAGGGCTGTAATTATGGCAAGATCCTCCATAAACTGAACAAACCTTGAGCGAGTAAATTGTAGTTAAAATGGAGGTAATGCAAATTAAAAGAGACGTAAAACATTTTTATTTGCATTATGATGTAGGTGATTTATAAGGCTTCCAAACAAACTTTGAAACATTATTTTTACAAGTATCTGTCACTATCTGACACCTGTCAATTAGAGAGCACTTGGAAAAAAAGTGCATGTACACTTTCGAAAAAAAGTTCATTAACTCTTACAACAATTTTTCTTCAAAAACAGTCAATGTTCTTAGGTAAAGTATTATTCACCTCCATTAACAACTAATGTACAAAGATTTACCTCTGTTCAGTCAGTAAATGACAACAAAAGTCATTGCAAGTAAATTCAAATGTAAGTTTTGAAGTTGTGAGAGTTTGCTCGTTTGTTTGCTGCAATGGGCGTGTGTAAATCTGGTCTTTCTTCCACCCAGAAACTAAATTCAACTGAGACACTTTTACTAGACACAACAAGAGTCAATACGACCTTTTCTCAGCGAGTTTCTTTCAATTTGGTTTCTGCTCTGCAATTTACAGTACAAATGTCCAAATTAAACGGACTTGGAAAGACTCATTGAAAGCGTATTTGTAGCAGAGCTGAAAACTTTACTCACCCATTCACAACGAACAAGAGAGAATTCACATAATACATAGATTTAGCCAAGCCTAAAAGCAGAGCTTCAGTAAGTTTATTTTCTAGCCCTTCACTTTATTAAAGTCCTCTGCAGTCGTTGTCAAAGAGATTATTGAAGGGGACCAGCTGGGGTGGGGTATAGGGGAAAATTGGGGTCTGAATTGAGGGATGGTGTTTTCACAACTTAACAAAGTGACCAGCATATGTGCTAGTCAGCGGTATTTTCAAGCAGATGAAGACCTCTGTTGATATTCCTGATGTTTTGTACAGATTTTCGAGGATAGGGAAAGTTTCCTTCTTCAGATGTAGTGTATGATGTTAGTATCAGTTGAAATGATATTCTATTGAAATGAATTAAAATATGAGTTTGCGAAAACGAGCCAAAATTAAAGAAACGACCATAAACGACTTCGAGTTAAGATGTCAGCATTCAATTGTAGGGTATTCACCTGAGAACAGTGAGTCGGTGAAACAGTACTCCGGAAGTGTATGGGCTTCTCTTATATCTTCTCTTGGTGTCGCTTGGTATGACTGTTCGCTCTGCCAATTTTTCTCCAATGTGTCAACCTTCTCTAGAAAGCATTAAACACATAGATGTTTAGTAAATATATCAAGTACACCAAAGGTACCATTGGTTTTTTACCCAAGAGTCCATTTTCACTTTGTAAAAGCTCTTCCAAATTCGAAACATTCGCCATCTTGAATGACGCCATCTTTCCTGTGACGTCACGGGTGGAACCTTCAAAGTTTCGTTTTGTGATCGCGTGAGACACGAAGGAGTCTTTTCCACAGCCGTTGTTTGGTGGTCTCATCATGATTTTTTTACTTACAGTTTGCTTCAATATATTCAATTTTTTCATAATGGTAAAACGTTGTGTCGTCCAGTTTTGTACTGATTCAAGCAAAACTGGGCGTACAATGCAAATATTTCCAAATGACGCAAATTTGAAGCGACAATTTGTGAAATTTGTTCTAGTGAAAATAGCCGATTTCGTGGAATGTTCGTGGAGCCGTTCGAACATTCTTTTGTTTGTAGCAGTCATTTTTCTTCCTGTTGCTGTACCGACGATTCAGACCCTACCAGAAGCAAATTATTCAGAAGTATGAAAACGACCCCTACAGTCCGTACAGTTGAGCTCTTCAAAAGTTAGAGGTCAACAGAGAAAGTACAAAATCGATTTACATGAAAACGTTTCGTTAATTAAACAACAATAGCTTTATTGGTTCTCTAAAAACATCTTTTTTCTCATCTAATGAATGATTATGGGGAAGCCAGTTGTTCGGGAGTCAGCGCTGAGCCCATAAAAGACAATAACCTGTCTGAACCTTTGCATGAATTCGAAACACGTGTCAAAGAAAGAGAATTCCTTGATGTCGGTGTGTAATAACGTGATCTGGAATTTTGTTGGTTCGATATAAAGAATTCTATACAGGATCCCATAATCAACCCTTATGTTCTATAAGGGAATCCATGCCAGCCCCACTTGTTGCTTCCTTTGAGAAACCCCGCAGAGAAACAGAAGAAGAATTTGTCTCACGGTTTTCACAGCAGTGAAAGTACATTCAGAGGTCAGTAGGACAATATGTATCATTTTGAGTACAGCTTAAAAGATCCTAATTTCAGCATGCAAAACTATCTTTTCAGTATTTCAAATCGAATCAAACACAAACAGGGTTGGATGATTATGAAGACCACACCAGGAAATGTACATGGTACAACTTGTTTATCGATGGAAATGCTTTGGAGATGAAGGAAAGCAATACATAAGTATCTCATAAAGAACGGGCACAACCGCTAGTGCAGTAAGACACAAATAACTAAGATCTGCATTAACATGTACCTTTGTTTCTTTCAAAGGTTTTGCGGTTTTAATCCAATGTAAGACGATCCAAAATCCGCTGGAAAAATGTTTCGGATTTTGTTTACCGCACAAGATGGCACAGCTATCCTGAAGTGTTTGCCGAGATAACCTCAACACTGACGAACAAGCTATCCGTAGGCAATTTAGCGAAATTTCCTGCCGGGAAAGAAGTGAAAAACAACTAGCTGTAGTATTGTATTGTTAAATCAATGGCAGAAACAACTCAAGCAAATCGATCTAAAAATGTAACAAAACAGATGAAACAGAAAACATTTAGCTGATTATCTGAGCCTTACTGCTGCCTGTACGTGTAATAGGCCGTCTCCAGCACCCAGAAATCGACTGAAAACCAGGATGCTCAGCGATACAACCTATCTGGATTGCAGGCCCTTGCTCATATACTTTTTGCCACAATTGCCCGATTTCCTTACAACAAACACTTTCATGAGTTGTCGGAGTTGGTTGACAAGTTCCACACTCACGCCTTTGATAATTTTATACAAAACACCCTCAGAAGCTCAGGTTTTAAAAATTTCTGTTGTATTCTTTTAGATTGTACCCTTGCTTTATTGGATTTTCATGTCAAATAAATCTCACAGTAAATTAAACATCAGTTTGAGTTTCCGAGGAGGTCGCATCGCTGTCAACATAATAATTTTTCCAAGCCCTGAATAGGCGAGGAAAAAATACAAGCAACGAGCAAGATTTCCGCTTGTGTTATGTGTTAAACCATCGAATGAGAGATTCATTATTCCACTATTATTTTCAGTTTTTAGTATTTTAACTTTTATTGTGCGAATTACATCCTACGGCTTTATCTGTGCATCGTATCCATTGCATAAGATATGCGCGAAAGATGGAAACAACCAGTACTAAAGCATTCAAATGTCCTTTGTATTCTTTTGTGCTTAAAAGTTCGCTTCTTTAAAAGTCAAATGTAAAAAACGAAAAAAAAAAACAAACAATGTTTGGATCGTTCAGTGCTGCCAATATGTTGCGACGTATTTTGCCTTGTTTTAAAATGTAATACTGTGGCATATTTTGCCTTCCTCATTACTTTCTTTGGTAAAATGACACAGTAGTGGAATGATAAAGCTCATTAATGTTCTGATTCTTATGAAGTATCACCAATTAGTTATTCAATTGCTTATTGCATTTGTATTCATTCTTAGACCCGTCCACAATTCAAAATGTCACCACGTCATCTAAGAAGTCTTGGATTGGCCAGACAGTAACTTTGAAGTGTCTTTCTGATGGTGTTCCTACACCAACACTCTCTTGGTACAAACCTAAAGGAAGTGGAATAAACAGAGTCACAGCCAGAGAAAACGAAGTACAAGTGCCACTCAGGGGTGATCAAGATTTTGGTCATTACAAGTGCATTGCTGCCAATGGACTTCCTCCATCTGATGAGAAATTAATAAAGATAAATCAGATAAGTAAGTAAAAAAGATCAGTGTATTGTGATAAGAAGAAGACTATATATAAGGTCAGCATTTTTTTTTTGTCTTTGCTCATTATCACTGTTTCAGTTGCAGAAGAAGTAAATACCAAATTTTCTTACAAAGTACTCGACAGAGTAACTTATTCACTTTGTACATCTCATTCGATGATTCAACATGTAATACATGCGGATATTTTGCAAGGCTTATAGGCGTGTGGAAAAAAATAAGCTTATGTTAAACCATCGAGTGAGGGATTTATCATTTAGCTGCGTTTGACCTACACATATTTTTCGCGTTCGTTACCCAATGAGGTATAACGGCGTAATAGTGGAATTATGTCATATATTGTTAGCCTGATCTTTTAGTGGGAAATACACCCAAATTTATTAAAAATAAAGGTTTAAAGTAAACTGTCGACACCTTGCCCTTTGGTAGCATTAAACACGTCACAAAGAGCATTGAACTTCAGGCAGATTGATGACATCTTCCCATGCGGGTATCTATAGGAAACTTCCTCAACCATGGACTATAAATTTTTTCACTTTTTATGAGTCTCTTGGCTGAATGTATCCGGTAACTACATTTATATTCATTAAGAGGCTGTCTCTCTTATTTCCACCCGGTCAATTTTGCGTCAAAAATAATTTTGCCTGAAACTCTGTTAACAGAAAGACTTTACCTAGGAAAGAACTAAATTAGATTTGGTTTAATTCGAAATAATTTTCTGACTGCATTACGGGCCATAATTATTTCCCAGTCCGTAGGGACCGTCGCAACGTCTTAAAAATTGAAAAATAGGCATATTTTGTAACGTTGTAAAATATTTGATTCGCATAGTTAAGCCACAGAATTTATATCAGATTGCTTAAAAACCTTTCTAGTTTGCCAAGAAAGTTAGAATTTGCCCTCTCGACATATTTGAAAAGGAGAATTTTAGCATATTCTGACCACTAGAAATCGCCATCGGCCGATGGCCGTAAATAACCTTGATTTAGACGCTAAGTTTTGGGATTTGGGACCTGGTTGACGATTCTATCCTACACAGCCGTTAAGTTTAGACCTTTATAGGCAAAAATATGCAAAAACCCCTGTACGTTTTCGATTTTTCAAAAGTTATGACCATTTGAATCAGCACATGTACGAGCATTCGCGATTTTTTCGCCTACACCAAAATCGAACCACTGGAGCAGATTTCGTCATAAATACAGCTTACCCGCTTTGCAGCCCGGCTTCATGGCTCACTTCAGAATTTTTCTAATAACCAGATTGGTGAAATCCATGATAACTTCAACAAATAGCTAGGTATTGCCTTCGAAAAGTAGGCGGCATCCATCGTGATTCGTGGTATCAAAACAAATGCCGGAATTGGCCACATTTCGCGGTGAATCACCCATTTAACATCGCTGCAGAGCTGAAATTTTTCCAAAATCAGAATATAAACTCTCCATGTCTGGAAGCTGAGGGAGAAATGAAGGTTTTAGGCTTCTGAAGTGAAGAAATAATCGCTCAAATTTAGATCCAGTTCGATGTTATACTGTTCTCACAAAGGTCCGCACAAAAGAGAAGACCGCTGATAGCTTGTGCCGTACGTTGTGCCGTATGGTTTTGTTTTGTATCCCAATGTAATATTTGGGCAGAAAAATTTTGGATGAAAAGAATAAATGCTTTTACCTGGAGTTTGATATCATATAATTAATAAATCAATTTCAAATATCCTGAGCTTGCTTCTCTCGGTTCCGCGTCGATTGTGTCCACAGAACAGCAACCTGTCAATAGCCGGAGAAATCGGCTACCAACGTGTTAAAAACTTGACACATGCTTCGTATGAACAGATGTTATAAGTGTTGCTTTTGGTAAATTTTCAATCGATTTCATCAAAACATTTCACTGACTACTAGATATTATAATATATTACACTATAACAACGCCGTCAGAACTTGATATCGGAAGTAAAGGTAGTTTGTATCTGTAGAGCATATTCTACACTTTCAGCCACCGTATAAGACATTGTTTACATAAGTCTACTGAGATACACACTGACAATCACTAATCACGTCCGACAGTTTGTCTATGAGGATCTGTTTTTTGTCTCTCAATTTTACAGGGATCTCAAAATGACTACAGATGGCTCTCAACAAAACCACATTGAATTTCTGAAGTGTGTTATTGTGGTAACGTTCACAGAGGTCCTACGTATCGTAGCAGATTGGATGTGAGACTTTGATCTCTTTGTTAACTTTGTCTACCAGATCTTATCTCTCGGAATTTTCCTGGACGCATTGGATATCTTCCTCCTCATCCAGTGATATCCCGATCACACCCTGATCTTTTCGCCGCATTGCTGCTAGCCGGGAGAAAAAGCTCTGAACTTGGCTCTTTGTCAGCCACTGTTCTCTAGTGAACAAACGTGCATTTGATTCATTTTTCGCATTTCGCATGTCCACTGCAACTTGGGCGGGGTCGGCCTTTCTCCCAGTTCTTTCTCCAAGTGTAAACCGTGCCGTTAGGTATTCTTTTACCCTCTCTGAAAATCTAACGCTGCCCCTTGGTTTGCATACGGCCCATCCTGTTCGTAAAGACGAGTGGGGCGAAGTATCCACGGGAGAAGTGAGTGGTGTACTAGAATCTAACGAACAGCTCGAACACTCGATACCAGCGGTATCTATCGACGAGAACTTAAGGGCCCAGTCCCTTTTGATTGCATCATACTGGCTTTAACCTGCTGACTGTATGCATTCCAACGTCCAGGTGCAGCTCCAGCTGCGAAAAGGTTTCGAACACTTCAACACATTCAAACACAGAGCATTCAAACAATGGCGTTGTACTCTCTGTTTCCTTGCTGCCCTTTGAACGACGCTTGACCACACGCTTTTCAGGAGGATCATAAAACCCTTGAGATTCTATGGTTTGAAGGGACGTTTGACCTTGGTGCTTGATATAAATTACGTCATATGGAATGTACTTCCCTTTACCGATGCCATAACATTTCCAAACTCTCAGACCGATATCTCCATATTCGAAGTTGTGGAAGCTACTAAAATGCTCAATCTTATTTGTACAGAGAGTGTTCTTTGATTCGTCTACTATTCTTACTGCAGCTGTTGTTCCCTTCACTGGGTGTTTCGTCAATGCGTATCCTCTGTCCAATGAAAGCTTTAACAACCTCGCTGAGGACTCGCTACAGACTGAAGCCTCTCTGGTTTCGAAAAAGCACTTGCATGCCATACTACACTTGCAGGCCTTCCAAAAAAAATAAAGGGTCAGCGGGTTCACCCGCAATGATTAATGCGGACCTCTGTTATGCGCGATAGTGCAATCGTACAGCTTTAAATCCCAAAATGCCAAACTTCGACACATAGATCTACAAGTGGAGTTCTATGACTGATTCTTGAAGAGAATGCAGCTGCAATCCAAAGTTTCAACGGGACATTAAGCACGAAACATGGCTTTAGTTTTCGAGTTTAGTTCGCAACAACGAGTCAAAGAAGAGTATCGACAGATGCCGACCGCTGAATTTTGCAGGTATTTGCTGGAGTTATCATAAAGTCCAGTTCACCAGTTTGGGAAGCGAGGAATATCTGAAATTATTTCACATAAACCCATGATTTCTCCGGCTATTGACAGGTTGCTGTTCTGTGGACACAATCGACGCGGAACCGAGAGAAGCAAGCTCAGGATATTTGAAATTGATTTATTAATTATATGATATCAAACTCCAGGTAAAAGCATTTATTCTTTTCATCCAAAATTTTTCTGCCCAAATATTACATTGGGATACAAAACAAAACCATTCAGCACAACGTAGGCACAAGCTATCAGCGGTCTTCTCTTTTGTGCGGACCTTTGTGAGAACAGTATAACATCGAACTAGATCTAAATTTGAGCGATTATTTCTTCACTTCAGAAGCCTAAAACCTTCATTTCTCCCTCAGCTTCCAGACATGGAGAGTTTATATTCTGATTTTGGAAAAATTTCAGCTCTGCAGCGATGTTAAATGGGTGATTCACCGCGAAATGTGGCCAATTCCGGCATTTGTTTTGATACCACGAATCACGATGGATGCCGCCTACTTTTCGAAGGCAATACCTAGCTATTTGTTGAAGTTATCATGGATTTCACCAATCTGGTTATTAGAAAAATTCTGAAGTGAGCCATGAAGCCGGGCTGCAAAGCGGGTAAGCTGTATTTATGACGAAATCTGCTCCAGTGGTTCGATTTTGGTGTAGGCGAAAAAATCGCGAATGCTCGTACATGTGCTGATTCAAATGGTCATAACTTTTGAAAAATCGAAAACGTACAGGGGTTTTTGCATATTTTTGCCTATAAAGGTCTAAACTTAACGGCTGTGTAGGATAGAATCGTCAACCAGGTCCCAAATCCCAAAACTTAGCGTCTAAATCAAGGTTATTTACGGCCATCGGCCGATGGCGATTTCTAGTGGTCAGAATATGCTAAAATTCTCCTTTTCAAATATGTCGAGAGGGCAAATTCTAACTTTCTTGGCAAACTAGAAAGGTTTTTAAGCAATCTGATATTCTGTGGCTTAACTATGCGAATCAAATATTTTACAACGTTACAAAATATGCCTATTTTTCAATTTTTGAGACGTTGCGACGGTCCCTACGGACTGGGAAATAATTATGGCCCGTAATGCGGTCAGAAAATTATTTCGAATCAAACCAAATCTAATTTAGTTCTTTCCTAGGTAAAGTCTTTCTGTTAACAGAGTTTCAGGCAAAATTATTTTTGACGCAAAATTGACCGGGTGGAAATAAGAGAGACAGCCTCTTAATTACATGTTAACGCACTCAGCAAATGAACTATGGGGATTTACCTGCACGAGTTCACCGACTATTACACCACGATAATGACGTCAAGGAGGTTGTTTCGTCACAACCCAGTATCACGTGGTAAAATCATCTAATCAGAAAATCGGAATTCGAACAGTGTATGAAACTTGAATAATAAACTGTGATAAGACATGGACTTGCATTCATCCTTAGTGTTGTGACAAAACTCAAAATAATCTCTTTTCTTATGGCACTATGTAGAGAAACCAGGGAAAGCATCCATCAAATCAGAATCAGTCATTCAAGCAACTTCTATAACAATACAATGGACTGCACCAGCTGATGATGGAGGAAGTCCGATTACAGGATTCCAAATGATCTTACAAAAGGATGGAACTGAGATAAAAAAGGTTAATATCACCGAACCTGGGACGACAAGTTATTCGTTTCCTGGTTTGGAGAAAAATACCAACTACACAGTGAAACTGTTTTCCAGAAATTTTGTATTCGAGGGAGATCCTACTCTATGGAACTTTAAGACCAAGTTTGAAGGTGAGGAATCAAAAGTGATATCGTGACTGAGCACTTTCCACCAATCATTGTTTCGCCAACTTAGATTTGTTGTGAGTAACCCAGTTTTAACAACGTTATCTGCTTGCTGCATTATAAGATTTTGGATTTTCAGCGTTTGTCCCCTCCTTAGTGGCCAGTTTCCTTTCCCTTTGTGGTAATTGTTTTAGAGACACCTACGTTTGAAGAAGCATAATAATAAACAATGAAAAACCAATGATCGTAGGTGAGAACAATAGACAACCTACGCGGTTACGTTCCGTAAATGTTACCTGATTTATCAAGTATTGTTTGCCTTGTCGTTTTTTTTTTTTTTTATTTTCTGATGTTCACGTTTCAAAATCTGCAATATGAATCAGCCACAACAACAGCCGCTACATAGGGACCTTAGGTTAGTTGGATACATTTTTCCTAAACTCTTACTGACCATATTCAGAACGCCCAATAACCAACTATCCCTTTAGACAATGAGACGATTTCCACACATCGTTTGACCAAAGAATTGAAGTTTGAAGAAATGGGCCTTTCATGAATGTCGCTTCTAATATGCAAATATTATGGGGAAATCTCGTCAAACAGTGTGTGGAAGGCCTCGAAGAATCCTTCGTATATTTTCTTTAAGATGAGAAATAGCTTATTTTCATTTTGCAGGGATTAGCCCAAACCAAAACAATTAAGGTTGCCGTTTTCAAGAAAGTTTCTTTCGAATCTCATCCGGCACATATCTCACTCAACAAAAAAAATATTTTGGTAACAGTTGTGAACTTAGTAACTGAATTGAGCAGCCGTAATATGGCAATGAAGTTCGTCGCACCTGTTATCGCTTAAGCGCTTCTTGTCATTGCCTCCTCGGTTGGCAAACCGCCTGAAGAAAAAAGCTTGTTGTCTCGGCGGAAAAACCCGTGCCAGCTTATATTTGCAGAAGAAGAATCGTAGGCCTGTACTTAATCATGCGCGATGTCAAACTTTTCAAAAGCGGAAAGTAGTTGCACACGAACTGAGATCCTTTCTGTAACTACGTGACACAAACGAACGGTGAATTGTGACGTCATCTATGCATCGGTCCTTCATTTGATCACGTGTAAATAGCAATTACAATGCCAGTAGAAGTCAGTGTATCGTTCTAATTCGCCTCATAAATGCAGTATTTGTTTTAGGCAATAACCGACCATCATTTTAGACTTCTCATTATCACTTTTTGTCCTTTCAAATTATTTTGAATTTATCTCAGTACTTAAGTTAATTTGGTTGCCATACACTTTCGTCTCAGAAATATCCCAAACAAATCCTCGACCAGTTTACAGATTAGTTAATCATTGATAATGGTTCTGACCAGGTTTGTAACAAGAAATTATATAATTATTAGAAATTTCACGCTGTTCGTGTCGTTGACATCAATCTAGGAGCCCCAGATGTGGTCGAAATAGACGAACTGCCAGATAAAACAACAGACGATACAATTACCCTAAAGTGGAAGGAGCCAGAAAGTTATGGAAAAGTTATTATCATGTATACAGTGTACCAAAGAGTAGTGACTGATGGGAAAGTGGGACATTGGACAGAAATAAGGAAAATCAGAGATGTTTCTACGAGAGAATTGAAAATAGCGTTGGAGAAAGGAAAGGTGTATCAGTTTGCCATTACTGCAACTAGTGAGCTTGGTGAAAGCCTAAAACAGGAGAAAGCAAATATCCAGCAAGTCAAAGCAGAAGGTAGTATGTTCAAATGAATCTTATTTTCGCCTTTCAAAGGTTATCTTTTTTCTTTACTTAGTTTTCCAGGACTCTCCGTGTCATGAACATCGAGGTTTTTACGGGTGAGTTCTTCGCTTGCAAGAACCTTAATCAATGAGAAAAATTTTTACTTACGTCGCAGTTGATATTTGTATGCCAACTGCAAATATATGGCATATCTATTAACTGAAATTTTAATCATTGGCTGGCACACACAAATATTTTAAGTCTGACACATGCTGATCTGAATCTGGTAAGAGAAGTCTGCAACACTTTCGTTTAATCTTCTTACATTTAAATTAACTGCTTTTTTCTTTCCTTTGCTGCCATCACTTAGCTGATGCATCTCTCCCACATCAAAAAATTTCACTCTCCCACACTGAATCCCGAGAACTATTCTGTCATTTTCACCACCACGGCACTTTATTCTTCATACCGATGAAAGCGACTTAGAACTTAGCCTCCTCTACGCACCGTAATTTCGACACCAGATTACTGAACCGCGAGAACTCAGAATTGTCGGCGATTTCGCTTTAGCTTAATTAAGAATGTATAGTCACGCTGCCTCACGCTGCGAACAGAGAGGTTGTCTATCTTTTCACAGATTTTCTTCGGTGAGGCTACAGAGCGTGACGCAAACTTCCTGTCTTAAGGTCATGGAGGGGTATTCATTTTCTTAGGTCTTAGGTCTTAGTTTTCGGGGATCTTCGTTTTCGCAACAAACGTAGTTCACTTTCTCTTTGTTGATGATCTCTTTTCAGTCTCTTTTCTGGAGCTCTTTGTATTCTCTTCTCACATTGGTCTTCGCTAGATATTCGCCATTCTACTTTACCCTTTTCTTGTTTTCTATCGTCTTCCCCTCGCTGTGTTCTGCCTATTCTTCGCCCTATCAAACCCCATTTCGCGTTTTTCTCAACTCGCTCCACGCCTTTTAAGTTCTTTCTCTCTTTGGTCTCTCTCTCTCTCTCTTTGGTCGCTCTCTCTCTCTTTCTTCCGTTTGGAAAAGGGAAAAGCTTTAGCTTTGAGTATCGTTGCTTTGCAAGTTTATTAGAAATTGCAAAATACCAAGAATCACTTTTCAACAACAACCTCACCAGTATGATTTCCCGCTCAAAACACGGGTTGCAAATTCTTTCCTTGCGCTGCTTCACATCCTCTAACCAACATGAAGCCTTTCTAGGTTTCTTCAAATATCTTTGAAGTTGAATCTTAAGTCTCTTTTCGTTATCAAGTTTGAGATGAGATATTCTAGTTCTAGCTTGTCTTCGTTTAAATCAAACTTTAGCAGCGCAAGAAACAGAAACAAGACAAATTCCGTATTTCAGTGCCTAGAGTTGCCATGATCATTGAAATTTGGTTTAAAGAGGACAATCGTGAAACACGAATAATCTGAAGAGAAGAACTGAAAACAGGTTGAAAGTGACTATTCTTTTTAATTTAGTACAACTATCAGAGGAGTTTGACACAATAGAGAAAACTGTGGAGTGAACAATCATAACTGGCGACATAAAGAGAAGATATAAGAGAAGCCCGTACGTTTCTGGCGTATTGTTTCACTGACTCACTCATCTCATTTATACCTATCTATTAGTCGACCGGTAATCTCTTAACTGGAAGTTGCTTATGGGCGTTTCTTTCAACTCTGACTCATTTTCCCAAACCAAAGTTCACAGTAACGCTAAATGAAATATCATTTCAACCGACGCTGACATCATACACGACATCTGAAGAAGAAAACATTATTTATCCTGAACCTGTGCGCACTCTGATTGCCTTGCATCATGGTCGCAAAAGTAAAACTGAAGCCCCGTTTAAACGGTCATGATAGTTGACGATAGTGTCGACTATCAAGCGCGTTTGAACACGAACTGTCATGTTCTATCATCGCATTTCATCAAAAATCATGTAGTTTGGACATGTCCAAATTCGACATGATAGTTAATGATAGTTTTTGCTGTTTGAACAAGAGGAAGATAGTGAATGATAGTTGTTAGGTCAGCAGTTTTGCCCAAAAACGGGCTCAAACCGAAATGGCAACGGTAAAATGACTAAAATAGCCGTCGAAATTTCCCAGAATGTCTCGTAGTTAATTCCTATCATTTCCTGGTAGGCTTCAGTATCTTTAACTTGTAACTTCTTGACTAAAATTTCAAGTGCCGCTGAAATTGCTGACCTCAGCGCGCACCGTATTTGTGTACAATTACGCGATCTCATTGCGTGATATTTTGTCAACTATCATTGACTGTCATGAACCGTTTGAACACAAACTTGATAGTCAATGATGTGAATGAAAGTTGCAACTGTCATTCAGTTGTCTATCATTAACGTTCATGATCGTTTGAACGGGGCTTAAGTCATTTGCATCTTGTCGCAGTCGAGTAAACATCTTTGAAATGTATATAATGGGAATTCACTGTCTGTTGCCGCTCCCTCGTTAAAAAGGAAAGTTAAAAAGAGTTGAAGGGCCTGTGGGCTCTCGTAATTCTTCCGCGACCAAATTTGTTCTTAGGAGGCAACTAAAGAGATTCAGAAAGAATCGAAACAGCAGTCTTGCTTAAGAATCTTCACGAAC